TTCTTAGATGCACACTCGAATTAGATTAATCTGCTCACCCGCCAGTTTAGCTGCAGAAAAAAAGAATTTTTCAGCATTGCAGTACAGAAATATATCTAGAAAAAGAATCTTTGCATTATAAAGATTCACAGAAAAGCACTTAAGCGAATGAAAACGTATCTCAAACACGTCTAACAACCATACCAAGAGACAAATAATCTAACATGAGCCGATAAAAGCTAACGTTTTGTTGGGACCTATTTAGACGAACAAAAATAACTCAGCGACCAATAATTCGTCAAGCTACTAAATTTTTTTAGCCCCACACACTTCTGTGCCACAGCGAAATACCTACACAGAGACTAGCGATGAAAACCTTAACTGAATACACCCCTTCAGCAAAATTTGGTCTATCATAAGCTTCCATTTATTGCTTTCTTATAATCCAAAGAAAAATTCAAACAGATATTTAAAGTTCAAACAACAGAAATGAAAAAACTTAAACACAGAGGCGAGCCGGAGCTTCGCATCACTGCCGATATAAATCAAGAGTAAGACTGCAAGGTATTGAATAGATAAAGAAATTGAGATAATACAAGTCGAAAAATAACTTGAACTTGATATTTGGGAAATTTGAATTTTAGAAAAAGAAACAAAGAAACTCATTTTGAAGTAAAAAAACACCATGAAGCCAAAATCTTGCCCACCATTTATAAAATGGTTGCATATTAAACAAAAAGTTTTTGAGCAACATTACTAAAGAAAGACGAACTAAAAACTACAACAATTTCCAGCAAAAAAATGTCCATCTTCTTTTTTTTTAGAATTTTTGGATCAAATTATTGTCGTTTTTTGTTTAACTACACACACGCGTAAAAAGTTAGTAAATAAGACATAATCGAAAAAAGTTGTCTTCATAAAAAGAAAATCAAACAAAAAACTAGAAACACAAATTTTTTCTATTTTTTAAACCTTTTTTTTTGAAGTTTTTTTAAAAAAACTCTGTCCAAAGAAGATCCAAATATAGCTTTCAAAACTAATCATCACTTTTTAGCCTGCATGACCATCTCAACAAGTTCTCTTCACTTTATTCGGTCGAAATTAGACGAAAAAGCAAAAACTTCAAACCGGTTTTTCTAGACACTGGGAAATTTTTTTTGAAAATTTTTTATGACATTCGAATCACGACTGAAAGTGCTTTAATACGATATATAACTCAACTCGCTACGATGCTTGTTTCTTGTTATAAATTTTTCGTCGAAAACAAACACTCAAATGGTCGGCACAAAAAATTAAAATCTATCAAAAAAGTTCACAAAAATTTCTGTAATAGATCTCTTGCACTCAACTAGCATAAAATGAAAATTATTCCTGCATAACGCATTTGAATAAAATTGCCATTTCTAATCTCCATTTCTAAAATTCAATTTTAAATCAACTTTCGGAAAGCGACAAGGATCGCCAGGAAAACTTTTACATTGCCAATTTACGCCAAAAACAGGGGCTAGGGTCTGAAAAAGGAAACAACTCAGAGCTTTCAGGGATGCTTTTTCAGCCTACCCTTTTCGACCATTGAACTTACGAACAATTTTTTGTATTAAGCCTTGATTTTAGCATCTCGATCCACGGATACATAGTAAAATGCATTCTAGAAGCGCAAAGCTGGCTTTGGTTCTAATGAGAGCGATTACATCCGCGTAGAAATCCTCTCGTTTGTAACTCATATTTGAGGCTATTTTTTTAAACTTGAGTAGCCGAGGTACGGGTTCCTCCAGTGCATGCAAAACCCAATGAGTTGAAGTGACATTTTCAACTTGGATTTTACTGTTGCAATTTCAGTTTAAGATTTTCAGTAGCTTCAAAATCTTTTCAAGTTTTAGGACAGCTTTTCGCAAAGGGATTGAAATCTTTAACACCAAACAGGGTTTTATTGAGTCTGGACTCCTACAGACCGTTTGCCTTAACAAGAAACCTTACTTCATCGTCATTCGGTAATCATTGATCATTTTTTATCAAACAACTCGCCTTGGAACGTCTGAAGATCGAGCTCAAATTTGACACTGTGGCAGACGTCATGAAGTAGTTTGCAATAGAGTCTCGATTCTTGCTGTTCCTGATAATGGTGTAGCCTCCTCTTGGACATTGAAGTGAATGTGTGATACTAAATTTTCGCCACGTGCACACATCCTTGGCATGTTTTCATGTTCACATCTGTATCTGAGCGACATGCCATCTCTGATTTAGTCAACTCCGATTTGGTCAAGTTGAAATTATATGGTTCCAGTGTGAGCGCATTGAACCAACTCAAATGAATTTTAATCGAAAGCTGAATCTTCTCTTGCAGTTTTCAATTTCAAACAGTGAATATGCCTTCCAGACTACAACATTGTCAGAGCAGATGGCTATGCCAAAAATGAAAAGGACATATGAACACACGGCGGAGTTCTTATCTCGACCAGAAATGAAAATAATCACACTGAAGTCGATATTAGCTGCCTACCCAAAAGTGTGCAAACGTCGCTTAAATTCGTCAAAACCAAAACAGACGCCCAGAAACCTTGCCACATAGCAGTATTCTAAAACCCGCTTACGAAGAGTAAATACCAAATTTTGATGGAGCACGTTGAAAAAAAACATTCAGTTTCCTGGATCATTTATGTATTTGGGACCGTCGGTCAGGTGATTTCACATTCCCGACACCAACTGGCAAACGTACCAATCGTCAAAAAAAACAAGAACAAGACTGCCAATTTAGTCATTGATAGTACTTATTAAAAAAAAAAACATGGTGACTTTCATGCAATTGCATCATCCGATCACCCCATCGAAGTAAACCTCAGCTACGAGGCGAGAGAGTCAGGAAGAGGGGGAGGTCGAAAACTACAGCTACAAACAGATAGTTGGGAGTCAAACTCTTTCCAGCCATCTGGCTACAGCGATGTTGATGTCAACACAAACCTTTTGTACAAACGGGTCTTTGAAAAGTGAAAGAACCAACAAAACGGCAGAGCCATTCACTGTGGATTACCAATGATACTTCTCGTCACGTCATATAAGTCAACTAGAGACACGAAGAAAAAAGTTGCAAAAACAGAACTCTGAACATCAGGAAAACTAACTCTTCTTATTGACGGTTGTGAAAAAAATACGGTGGTAGAGTTGAGTATGGTTAATTTTGGTTCCAACTTCCAAGAATTTGAAATGCTTACAGAAAGACAGCTTATCTTCTGTAACAAAGTCTGAAGCTACCGAAAGTGAAGCAAGATTGGAAGAAAAAGCGGAATTTATCAACGCTTACTTCGCATCTGTAGTAACTTATGACGGCCTCCTTGTGGCATCTTTTTGGAAATGTTGAAATTGAGATAAGTGAAGCAGAAATCTCATCACAATTGCAAAACTTAGACCCAAGCAAAAACCGAAGAAACGATGCACTACTACCAATTCTGCTGAATAAAACTTTTGATACTATATCACTGTCGCTGAACAACCTTTTCAAACACATAAAACGACTGCATATTGACTTCAAAAACATTAAGCGCAAAATTGAAAATCTGTCTCCAATCTTTAAGGATGACGATAGAAAAAAAGTTGAAAATTACCGATCATAACACTGCTAAATATAACTTCAAAAAAACTTCGAGCGATCGTGAAAGCTTTTGCATCCCTTAAAAGCGTCGACCAATACGAGTTGCACATGGATTTTTATTTGCAATTGTGAACACTGTCGTCCAAATCAAATAACTTAATAGCGGTGATAACACCCCAGTGGCATATCCACGAAGTCGTAATAAAAATAACACCATCTTTGGTTTTTGTTTTTCATCTTTTTTCCTTGCTTCTATGTCCTCAAGTTGAATTTGGTTTACACACGACTGCGGATCTTGAATTCTGATTTTACACTCTGCTCTTAAAAGGAGATTCAGGTCGCCTTCTCCAACTGGAAGGGAAAAAATTGCGTGTTATTTCGCCTCGTCTGTGGGGTAACCTCAAAGATGGATATTTCTTGTAACAAAAAATGATTGCAATTGTCACCATGAGGTTGTTGCAACTGGGAGTGGTTCTTGGGATAAATGTGTTGCAGTTGGAATTATCTTAGGCTTTTCTGTTGCATGATATTGGAATTTTCTTAGGCTTTTTCACCTAGGAAATTTTTGTGCGCATCTCCATAGCCTAAGAGCGATCTGAGAACAATGATCGTCAAATATTTCGACATCGCATTTTTTATAGCTGCATCAATGAAGGGGCGCTTCATACATGATGACATTATACTACATGATATCCAAAAGCTGTGAAATGCTAATTAAGATTTGAAATTCTTTTTTATTGATAAAATTAAACCTTTTTGAGAAAACGGTTTCAAAATGTAATTTATTATTACGCAGCAAAATCTGTAAACTAAATTCCACTTCCGAAACTTGAACTCGATCACGTTTTTTGTGACCTTAACATTTTTGCTGTTCGATAGTGGAGATTGCCTTCCTTTTGACAAAAGAAATGAACTGAACTTCAGAAAAATCGAAAGTCAAACCGCAAAATACCAAACTTGAGCGTGAACAAATTTTAAGACTTTATCCTGAAAAAAAATACCAAGACCTATATTAGAGTATTCACTACATTGATGACACATAACAAGGGTAATCATAAAAAATCTTCTTTTGGATTGTCTTTGAGGAACCATCAGCGACTGCAGGAAAACGATTTTCTCCCAATCTCTGATTTTCGATCACTGATTTTCTCCCAATCTGATGTATTGGAAGAATTTAAACAAAAAAAACTAAGGATTTACATTTTCATGAAATTGTTCTCAATTCAGAAACTACATGAATCAAAAGGAACATTTCTTTCACTGCGGGCAAACCCTTATCATTAAATAAACTTTTGAAATGCAAGTAGGCTCAAATTTTAGCTCCATTTCAGCTTTCGTACGAAGAGAGGGTAATTCAGACTCCCATTTAGAAAAATGAATGCAAACATCGGCCAAACAGCAGTAAAAAGCCAACCTTCAATAAAAGTATACGAGATAAACAAATTATGAATTGCACGTCAATTAAATAAAAACAAAACAATTACTCACGCGATTGATCAAATAATTAAATCAATTTAGCTTTCATTCAAACTTCAAAAAAAATGACATAAAAAGTCATTTTTTGAAAAAAGAAGACACACTTTTCTGACCAACTTCCTTCTTTAGCTTCGTCTTCATCACTTTTTTTGCCCCCGTGGTGGAAATTTTAGTCAGTGGGACGCCGCATTTGGTATAGTCTTCCAAGACTTCTTGCTTTCCATCTGAGTCCAATTTCGACTTCTTAGCACATTCGGCTAGTATATTTTCTTTGGCACATAACGCTGCTTGGTCACCGACTGTCTTTTCAATTATACCCAAATGCTTCTTCAGCATCTTGCTTAAATTTGAGCCCAAGTAATCAGCTACAATATCGAATGCATGGAGACTCAGCTGCGTTTTGTCTGCAAAGAGCATAGATTCCTTTGACTTCTTCGACAGGCAGTCCAGAGTATCTTTATATCGCTTTTCAAGAAACTTCAAGCACTTCTCTTTAAAAGACATCAATTTTTACAGTGAGAAAGGCAACAACTAATTAAAAAATCAAAACATTGCTACTAAAGTACCTGAATCTAACCGACAAGCGATATCATCCTCGCAGTTAGTCCAGACGCAGATCTGGCCGATCAATTCTTCTGTGAAAAAAGGTTTCAACAAAGATAGTCCTGTATAACACTCATTGGTCAAGAAATCTGACAAAATCAGCAGTGTTTTATTGTGAACAGTTTCATCTAGCAAAGTAAGCAGGCAGTAAATAGGGTTTAATTCAGTAAAAATAAGCACAGAATTGTCCGAACTAATGATTTGATTGCAAAGCCAACTTCCATATTTTACGGAAAACAATTTTGGCTCATAAATTTTCTTGCCGCAAAGAAAGACTGTTTTAGATGGACTTTCTTTTGAATTTCCAAGCGGAACATTAACAGACCTTGTACTTTGAGTTTCGATTTCCAAGTTCAACAGCACAAAGCTAGTCATCAAAAATCTGAAAACAAACATTCAATTCAGATCGGTCAATTGAGAGAGGGCCCTCCTCAATATTTCATTTCAGTTCAGTTCTTTTTCTGATCTTTTATGCGTTTTGTCGCCTCTATCGATCAGCTCATGATGTACTCCCTTTCGATTAATTAGTCTCAAATTTATTATTTCCGCTTTTCTTCCAATGTTTGTCCAGGTTGTTCTTGAAAGCGTTCAAGGTCTTCGAGTCAATTACTTCTCCTGGCAACATGTTCCTATCTGTAGCTGATCTTATGGTAAAAAAAGTTTTTCCGCAATGCGCAGTTGGCCTTCTTCGTTATCAATTTTTTGTCATTTGTCCTTGTTTCGACGGTTAGTTCACTATTTGGATAGAGCCATTTTACAGCTAAATGAATTGAACACAGATGCGATGCGGAGCTTCTCAATACATGTGATACTACGCAAACAAATTTAAGCTAGCTGACACATAATGAGAATCAAGCCTTTATTCTCATTTTCGAAATATGTTCAAAAAACCGATGAAAAACTGTTTCATTCCATTACTTCCCAGCCGGAATCCCTTGTTTCAATACAATCCAAAAGAACCGAGTACTCAAAGAATTTAAGGCCCAGACTCCCTGCGATGTCTAAAATTATAACTGAGAAATATTTGACTATATTTCCGAACCGTGCACTCAGAAACTACGACCACTAACTGGTTGATTATAAATTTGTAAATTTGCTTGTTAAAATCCGCGTTTAAATACAGTTCAGTTCAGTTCTTTTTCTGATCTTTTAGGTGTTTTGTCGCCTCTATCGATCAGCTCATGATATCCTCCTTTTCGATTAATTAGTCTCAAATTCATTAATTCCGCTTTGCTTCCAATGTTTGTCCAGGTTGCAGGGATTGCAATATATTGAATGATCAGATATTGAATATTGAGACGATGTCAATATTGAATTTTTAATATTGAGATAAGGAAGGCTAGATATTGATATTGATATTGAATTTTTTGTAGATATTGAGAAAAACGGATTTTGTATCATTGCTTGAAACGTGACGTTTTAACACATACACATAAAACAAATGGTGATAAAAAGTTTCTGAAATGTGAAAATTAAACAAATTAAACAAAAAACAATTACATTGCAAAAAAAACTAAACAAACTTAATTAAATATTTCGAAATTCAATATTGAATTTGGTCTCTGGTATCTTAAAATAGTGATAATATTGAGATATTGAGCTTTTAGATATTGATATTGATATTGAAATTTCATCCTATTTGATATTGATATTGATATTGAATGGAAGATATTGATATTGAGCTCAATATATTGATATTGTATTGAAATCCCTGCCAGGTTGTTCTTGAAAGCGTTCAAGGTCTTCGCGTCAATTACTTCTCCTGGCAACAAGTTCCTTTCTGTAGCTGATCTAATGGCAGAAAAAAAATTCCGCAATTCGAAGTTGGCCTTCTTTCTTTATCACTTTTTTGTCATCTGTCCTTGTGCCACGATTATTCATTTCGAACATGTCTTTCGTAAACTTTGGGTCATAACGGTTGTAACCTATTTTGACATTTCGATCATTGTTCCTCGCCCTCTGCGGTATTCAAGTGACGGTAACTCGAGTTTCTTTAACCCTTCAATGTAGCTTAGTGTCTGCAGCCCTTGTACCATTCCTGTCGCTCGTCGTTGCACCTTTTCGATTAATCTTGAGGTCGAATCGAAATACAAGTTCGTTTTCATCTTTTTCTTCTGCTTTAATTTGATTTAAAAAAAACGTGTACGATAAGTTTTGCTGTAGTTCGATCTACTTTTTTTGGATAATCTTATTTTCTATCTAACTGAAACTATGCTGAAACCTACTGAAACTTCAAAAGAAGTCAAGGTTTTTAAAAAAATTGTAAAAATTTAGAGTGTTTGAAAAAAAATAACAAAAATTTCAAGTTTTTGGAAAAAAATGCAGAAATCTCGTAGTTTTGGTTAATTTTTTTGTTACTTGTGATCCAATTTAAAAAAAATATAACTGTATTTTTAGCGGTATCTTGTTGAAACAATGATACAAAAATTTGAATAAATTTTTGGATTTTTCCAAAATTTTCACACAAAATATTGAAATACGATAAATTTTAGCATTATTTGAGTAACAAAGCGGGTTATATAAATCTCTCGACTTAACAAGAATGCTCATAAAAGCTGAATCGAAATTGAAACTTGCGGAATATACTAAAAACAACCGTTATTTTCGAGAAAGTAAAGTAAAAATTATTCAAATCTGTAAAAATTCTCCATTTTCAACCTTTCATTATGGATAATTAAGTGATTTTTGTCCAATTCAGGGAGAATTGAAATGGGACTACCAATACAAATGAACATTAAGGGCAATTTCCTATAAAATTTCTAAATTTTTGCTCAAAGATTATCCTAAGTTTGTACAAAAATTTCAAATTCTGAGAAGTTATTCACCTTAATAGTACAAAATTTAAGATCAACGATGAAAAATGAACACATCATTGCTAAAATTGACTAAAAATAAGATAGACTTTTTTTAAAAACTTTAATCGATATTGGCTCAAATTTAACAAAATCTTTTTCATAACTGATTATTATCTCACTGTTGCTTCTCCAACATAATTTTAACAATTTTCCGTAGAAATGTTCAATTTTTAAAGGTTATTCTTACTTTCTGCTGTTTACATGTTTTCTGTATTGAACACACATTGCCAGAAAATATAGTCAGAACTGGAGAATTAAGGGGGAAAATAGTATCAATCGAACGAACAATTTGCTGGCAGAGATGAAATTAGAACTGATACCGTCTAATTATTTTGATAAAAATTGTAAATGTTTTCGTCAAGGATCCCTTGTCAGGTGCTACAGTGAACTATTTAAGCAAAAATACAATTTTTTGGATCAATAGCTATCACTTCTCTGGAAAATAGTCATTTTTTTTATAATTTTCCGTAGAAATGTTCTATGTTTTAAGGTTATTCTTGCTTTCTGCTTAATGCATGTTTTCGCTATGGAACACACTTTGTAAGAAAACTTAGTCACAACTGGAGAATTTAGGAGTAAAATAGTATCAATTGAACAAACAATTTGCTGGCAAAGATGAAATTAGATCAGATACCATCTGATTATTACAATAAAAATTGTGAATATCTTCCTCATGGTTCCCTTGTTCAGTTGCTGCAGTAAGCTATCTAAGCAAAAATACAATTTTTGGGCCAATAACTATCACATTAGTAGTAGATGTTGGAGGTTAAGTGGGGGGGGGGGGGGGAGGGCATGGAAGACCCTATGTATTAAGATACGTTATAGACTTCGGGTCTTCCATGCTATGTATTAAGATTGGGTATAGAGTCTACAATGTATTAAGATAGGGAATACCGATGGTAAGGTTTTATGGTTTGTGTAATGGTAAGATAATGGTAAGAAAATCGTAATTTTTTTAGTTTTTGTCTAGTTTTTTCGCAAAGTTTTTGGCGCGCGTTATCTAATTGGGAACAGTTAATTGTTAATTACGTGTAGAATAAAGGTTATGTATTTAGTTTTTTGGTGCATGGTAAGTCAATGGTAAGAGTTTTTGTGCAAAAATTTGGAATTTTTATGAAATTTTTTTCGAAAAAGTTCAAAACACGATAAGATTTTGTTTAATTTTATCTAATAAAAACTTATTAGATAATTTTACTTTCTATCTAATTGATACAATGCTGAAACCTACAGAGACTTCGAAAAAAGTCAAGTTTTTTGAGAAAAAAAAGTTTAAATTACAAAGAAAGTATATAAATCACTGCATTGTATATTAAATTTACCGCAATAATTTACATTTTATTATCATGAAACCATAATAATATGACATCTTATATAATTTAATACATCAGAAGAGTTCTTATAATTCCAATGGTTTTGTATGAATTCCATCATTTTGCACTTGTCTTTTAGGATAAAAATAACTTAGTCCTTTCTTTGTCTGTTCATATGTAGCAACCATATAATTTATAGTTCTGAATCCTCTATTAGTAGATGTAAGATTATTTGCTTCATCAAGCACTCTCCTGTATTTTGACATCGGACCGTCTCCAGAGTCTTCTAGAACCCGCTTATTCAATCCTTTGCTGCTAAATTTGAATTTGTCTGACTTGTTGTCATAGCAGCAATATGTCTTACTACATAAACAGAGCATTTCTGTGCACCTAAATTCTTCTTTGAAAAGTCCCGGCTCCCGCTTATCATGTTTTTTATGGATACTACAAAAAGTTCGAGGAAAGAAATTAGATTTTGCATCCGCCTTGAAGGAATCTCTGCAATCACTCTCCCTCATTTTTTCCCAAGCAGCTCTTTTATCTGGTTGGATGCAATCGTACAAATTTTCTTCCGCAAGTGCCAAGTAAAGTGAGTCTGTGTCCATCTCCAACTCTTCAAATTTATTTACATCACAGAACTTGTCAAAGAAGTTGTAGTAGAGTTCCAACATTCTCAGTTTTGCATACTGAAGTATGAAAAAACCAACAATGATGGGTTCTCTGTGCTCAATGGTTGACTTCAATAACTCCACCTCGTATAAGTCTTTCTCAACTGTGTTAAGTCTCTTAAACAGTGGTTCATTGATTGCCTTGTGAGTTTTTTCATCGTTGAGATACTTCGTGATTGTATGCCTGGATCTATCCATGATCTGATATCCATAGGAGGAATTGCCCAAGAGCTTCATTGTTTCTGCTACAACTCCTGATAGAGGGTTTTCATCTCCTTCTCTTCTTGCATCAACCACTGACTGAACGAAATTATTAAAGCATTTCCGAGGAGAATATTCAACAAAACGATAAATTTTGGTGCATTGCAAGCCAAGTTCCAAATAAAAGTTGAAGAGAGGAGTTATAACTGTTCCATTTTCTAGCTTGAAGCTAGATATAAGCATTCGCTGTGGATGTTTCAACATTTCATTTTCAATAGCATAATTCTTGATATAGTCACCAATATCCTTTCTTCCAACCTCACTGTTTTTGAAAATTGGAG